TAGTTCTCATGGATCAACACCACCCAATAGGTTAGTCCCAGTTGAATCGTCAACGTTCTGTCTGCCTTGTTGCTCCCACCTTTACCATCGCTAGCATCCGTAGCACTAAAAGAGAGTGTTGGTAGATGATGATGAGTTGAATGAGCGTCCTCTGAAGAGACAGGATACTATTACAGCCATTCGAGGAGAACTATATAGCTCCTCTCATCTTGCCCCTTTATTGTATCTCCCTCCTTTGCGAAGGAGGACAGCTATGCCCTGGATGTCACAATTCCCAACTGACGATAATTCATATAAGAAAACTATAGCATTGGGGAGCATGGGCCTGCTGGCAACGAGAGGGGTCCTCGTTGACAGATACATTTTGACAGTAGTGTCACTGAGTACCTGTTTAAGAACGATGATAAACCTTACGGAGTAGTAGATGCCAGACACTTTGCATATCTTCGTGTTGCGAAATGATGTCTATCTCAAACACAGCCAACAGTTTTCAAATCATCAAGTGCAAGCATCTATTGCTAACAATATTGATAGCAACACGAACACATGCTGGGCGAAGCATTTGATTATCCTCTCATCCCACATTTTATGAATGCATATTTGGGTTCGTCAACGTGAACAAGATGCAGCAAAGGCTGTTTCTATTGTCAGCTCAGAACATTACAATATTGTCACCAGACACAAGGAATTAAAAACGAATACTCTATCTGCTAACTAGTACCTCCTTTGGCTGCACAAGGCTCTATCTCCTGCCATTAACAAGCGGATCCAATGGCATCGCAACATTGTAGTTTTGTTAGCTGACTGCCAATGCCGCTCGTCAATTACAAGCAAGTTCTTTTGCGTTTGGCTCGTGGTCACCTACTTGTATCAACACGTAATGCGAATGTGGCTCCCTCTGAAACTTGAAAGTTGTCTATTTCAGACCTAATGTTTAGCTGTACTCGCCCCGTTGCTCTCTTGCAAAAGTGTTCAGAATGCACAACAATACTCAGAATGGACACTCCAGTAACAATGTAAATCAGTAACTTGCGTTGGGGCGTATGGAGAACAACTGGTGGTAATTGTGCAATCACAAACGCTGGGGTCGGCCGTCAAGATCAGAGTCATTGAAAAAACTCGCCTACCGTGCTCAAAATCGAATATAGGGAGACAAAAGTACTGCTCTAAATCCCGCCTTGTGAATGCATGCATCAATATTCAACTAATTTAGCAAGCACTTGTGAAATATACGATGTGAATCCAGCAATACTGAAAAGAATCACTCATACCTCATTCAGCTCTGCATTCCTTGTAGTAAATTCCATTATTTACAAAAAGAACATTGACATGAATGGTGCTAGAAATAGAAGAGATGCCTGTCTTAATCGTACACTGTCTGCTGGATACCGCCACTATGAACCGAGTTTGCGCCATAATAGAACGTAATCACTAGCCAAGATGATGCTGATAACCCTTTTCACCACGCGCGCATATAGACAAGATTAATGATGTCTGTGCTTCTACTAGTGTAGGTAATGGAGAGTTGCATCGAGCATCTGAGGTCGAGATGACGCACCTGAACGGTCAATTTGCAACAATCAAAGGCTTAATAAAGTAAGCAATGGTAGTATTATACAGTGCGCGAAAAAAACGTTCCAGTGTTTTGCCAATTCGTAGTTTTACACTTACAGCTCTGTCAATTTTTTCCAGTTTGAAAACTAAAGTAAGACTACGAAAGTTTGGGTTTTTGGCCATAAAATGAACTACTAAAATAATTGATACAGTAGATATTGAGCTAGTGCAACTGACGTGAAGTAAAAAATTTCGATTTTGTAAAATTGGAAATATCGCTTGATGACCTTATTGTTTGTATACATTCCACAAAAATAATCCGAGAGCCGTAATTTTTTATATCAGTTATGTTTAAAATGTTAGTTATCCGAGGAATGCTTAAAAAAGTATAAAGAAGCCTGAGATTTTGGTCTTTTCCCTCATTATATTTTATCATCTTTACTTCATCACTTTTTTTAACATGACACGTCCCATTCCTCAGGAGGTTCAAGGATCTGTCAACGCTCTTTTCAACCAAGGTTGTTCCCTCCGTGCCATTCAAAAAATCTTTCCAGATTTGTCCGTCAGTGTACGTTCTCGCTATAGGAAGAAGTTTCTTGGTCATTCAAAACATGCCAAACCCGGAAGACGCAGCAAAATCACTACGCAAAATATGAACTACATTGAGAGGAATCTCCGCAATGGTAATTTAGACGGCCCCAAGGGTGTGCAGTGCTACCTTGCTCATATGGGAGTTCAGATGACTTTGAGGAATATACAGTATATACTCAAGCGCAAAGGGTTCAAGGCTAAAAGAAAGGTAAAGATCAATTTCGTGTCTGCGGAGAACCGGAAAAAGCGTCTTGTGTGGGCCAAGAGACATCGACATTTGACTGCGGACGATTGGTGTAAGTGGGGATTTTCCGATGAAACCAGGGTCAACATGTGGGGATCAGACGGCAAATCTTTCTACTGGACTGACAGGCCCACTGAGTTGATGCCTCATCAAACTGAGGCTCAAGTTCAGGGAGGTGGTGGTGGCGTTGTTTTCTGGGGCATGATAACAGCGGAGGGACCCAGCTATGGCTCCACCATTACCGAAGGAACTGTTAACTCAGAAGTTTATGCTGAAATTCTGGACTCATCTTTGCTAGACACTATCGAGTACTATGGGCTGGACAAGAAAACGTTTAGATTCCAGCAAGATAACGCAAGACCACATACTTCTGGTCCCATTAAAAAATAGTTCACGCATCACGGATTCTCTGTTCAAAATGTTCTTGATTGGCCTCCCCCCAAAGCCCTGACCTAAACCCCATTGAACATGTCAGGCATCAACTAAAACGTCGTTTGAACAAGTACCCTACTAGGGCCGCCAGCATTTCTGAGTTAGAAGACAGAATTGAACAGGAATGTTATAAATTCACAAAAGAAGACTGTCTTAAATACATAGGCAGCATGCCACGCCGAATCAAAGCGGTTATCAAGAGTAAAGGTGGTCCAACTAAATATTGAGCTTTTTTATGAACTTTAATAAATTCGACTTTTCACTTTTCATGTGGCTACCATTCTTTTTCTAATTACGTGAATAAAGTGCATAATATATCATCTGATAGCCAACTACTTAGGCTATTTATGAAACTAAGCAAACCCCAGTAGCTTTGATATTTGCAGAGAAAACTGACTATAAGTGCAATTTGGCAAAACACTGGAACGTTTTTTTCGCGCACTGTAGTTGATATATGCATCTCCTGACATGTTAGCCAAAGGTAGACAACCACATTGAATTATATGAGCTCCTCGTTCAGTGTAATTTACATGAATTACAATGATTTTCAAGAATACAACTGAATGTGATGGGCATGTGTCACATCATTACCAACGGATTGGATTTTTGAGAGTCTACACCATTTTTTCATCCATCGCTGTTGTTTGCACTATGATCCTGTAATGAATCTGAAATGCAGACAAGTAAAAATTTATGCCTATGATGGTCATTGCCTTGTATTTCTGATAATACTAGTATTATGTCTTTAGCACGTCTGGGTGGCTCACGATTCTAGTTTAAGCTCATTTCCTGAATGAATTGGCATCTCTCTCTGACCATAGCTACGCATTTCTGGACGATCAGTATCTCAACAAATGCATTTATCAAGATGGTTCTTGCTGTACCTGAGTCAAATGCAAGGTTCATAACTTTTACTACTTCTATTTCAAATTTGTTTGGTGGCATTTGCCCTCCAGACCATTTTATAAGAAACCTGCCACGGAACAGGTACGTCTGTCGACGTTCAAGTCTTTACGTGTATACAGAAGTCCAGATGTTTCTCAATACAGCACCATACAGCAACTTCATTAGAGCCATATCAAAACAATGAAGATGCTTAAACATCACGGAAGCGAAGAAGTGATCTTCTGAATCCCCAAGGGTCCTTTGTACCAAACACCCAGAGTCCACTGAGGTTGTCTCTGATTTACAGCTTCTTTTTATTAAAGCGTTTATTACACGGCCATCGCAGTTGTGTGAATTTAGGTATGGTTTACAGACGCGAGCTCGAGAAGTGTGAATACAAGGAAACACATGTAATCTTTGATTTCGATAAGTCCTCCCCCCCAAACTGTCGCTCAGAGGTCAACGACAGAGTCCGTAGACTGTTTCCTTGGCTCAAAATGCAGGTCCATTCACTCTTGACCAGCTACAGTGGGGTTCCTTGATATTTGTATGTTTGCGTGCTGGCCATCTCGAATTCCTATTTCAGACTCTAAGAGTGATTTGACAAAGAGTATTGCTAAGAACTTGTATTCCAATGGGCATTTGTAACCTAAAATAAAAACGCGAATATCAGCAATGGAAGTAAATTTGGTTTTGACAATGAATAGATATTTAGCTACTACATTTGGCTCGGCAAACTCGTAATTGCAATAATGACATGCCACACAAACTACTCTGATTGCATCAGTGAAGCTGAAAGGTGTTCAGATGTTGAGCAAAACGTATTTGCAGCAACGGCCTTCACTATAGCTCTATATGCTGGAACAGGCTGTCTCAAAGTATGGGGAACCCTCAACCAAGCCGTTGCAGCTTGTCGAGTTGGTCACCTCTTGATCGGATGCCCACATCAAGGAAGCTGAAACGTATTCAGACGGCAATTTAAAACGTATTTACAAGGCCTCCTTCTAGACCATTTAGAACCAAATACCAAGGTACAAACAGGCCATACATAATAGATGATGCAATAGAGAAAGAGACGAGAAATGGTCATATCGCAACTGGTAGGCTCACCAAGCTTTCTTCAGTTTTAATGTTTTTATGAAGAGGTCTTCAGTAAGAGAGAGGAATGTAAAATAAATACTTAACAATAAATGTTGGCCATTCTTTCGTTCCTGAATTCCCATTTACAATCCACCAACATCACAGCCTTCAACTACTCACATTTTGCATTTTCTTTAACACTCAAATTTATGAAATGCCATTACACTACTTTGAAACTACATCACCTGGTGATTGGCGAATAAAGGACATCTTTGAAGCTATTCAGAAAAAGTATCCAGATAAAGAACGATCCTACCACGGGCGTGCGACGAAAAAAGAGCTAGAGAACTTGAAAACTCATCCAAAACAGTCTTTTCGAGAACGCGCACAGAGTTTGTTGGAAGATTTCAAGATACCCCCATCAGATCAAGAAAGCATCACATCATCTATCCAGTTAGCGAATACAATTGTGAACAAAGCCCAAACTATAAATCAAGCTACAAACCAAACCATCCAGCAAAACGTATCAGAAAACTCAGTTCATCCAAGAAAGCTTTTGCGCAGCGAGCTTGAAAATGTACCCGTATCCAGTAATGATTGCGAAGATGATGATCTTGATGACCTCTTTCCTTCTGCTACTGATCAAGACGACAAGGACGACGACTCCATGTGGGTGTTCGTAAAGTGCTCTTTATGCAGAGCGTTGTACTCATATTATGTGTGCAGTGACAGATTATTTAATCCAAAAAATGAGTAAGTCTGATAAAATAGCATGGATGAGGGGCGCTGATGTAGGATTTTAGTGCTGAGGCAAACGTTGATGTTGATAGTTTACCCACGATGGTGAGTCCAAAATTAAACCAAGCAGTTCGCAGCAAGCTTCAAACTAATGCCAAGTATGCTGTCAGTGATAATGAATACCAAATTCTGTTCGCGCAATATAAGAAGAAATGCCTCAGCGATCTTTCACAACTGGATGCCATTTATCTCGAGCCAAATTTCTACAAGCTTATGTAAGTGTTTTTGTTTGTGTAAGTACTCTTAATTATCCCGTTTGGCAGAGCTCTTGAAAACATTTTGTTCTTGAAGCCTGGCTCCTACTCCACTGACATGTTGCGCCTTTTTGGAGAAGCAAACCTGAACAAGCTCTACAAACATTTGTTGAAAACTCATTACTCTCTCGACACAACTAAACACACAAACCTGCTTAATAATCTCATCGATGATATATTTGAAAAGGCGTTTTTTGATTACCATGAAGTAGAGGCAAATCTTGAACAATTATCACAAAGCATAAAAGATGTATGGCACAAGAGAATAATTCGATGCGTCCGAGAACTTTTGGAGTTTTTACCTCGATATAAAGAGGTTGAAGCTTTCAACCAATGTGACCTAAAGACTAGATTTCTAGACCCAGTGGTTGAAATACTTCCTCAACGACATCAATGACACATTCCGCCTTCGCTACCCAGAGTCGAATCCCAACGAGAGGAAGCTCGTAAAGAAGGAAGTATTGCGCCCAGATTGTCTTGTAACTAATATCCCTTAGTCTCAGTATCGTGAAAATATCGCCTATGGTGAGGTGAAATCGTCTTACTACACAAATCGCACTCGGGCTCTCATTCTGGGTATGTACCGATTGGTGTATTTCAGCAAGTCAACGGCAGATACTCACAAAATCAATGCGCCCATCTTGCTACAAGTCGTGGGATTGAAAGTCAATGTGTATACGCTTGTGCTCATATCCCAAAAGTTCTATGTTACTTTATTCTTATTTGATTTCATCTTGCCTCAATGTAAACCAGAAATCGAAGATTTTTTACCCAGCATCAAAAAACTAGTCGCAATGAATGAAGCTTTAATCAAATGTAGCAACGGAGACAACAAGGCCGATAGCGAAATGATATGCCCTAGCAATGATATCCCTTTATTCGAAAGACGAGTTGAAACCAAAATTGCCAAAGAAGATTCCGACAGCATTCATCTCTGTTAGTTTAGTTCATTACCACAAAGGCCTTTTCGAACAATTTGATGGCCAGGTCAGATCAAGCATTATTAGGCAAGTTAAATGCATTTTGTGGGCATTACACATAATAATTTTTTTACTATTGTAGTTCCTGAAACTTTTGATTCATTAACCTGCTTATTCATTATATGTATAACCCCAGTGATCCTTTGAATTGCTTAAAATATACACATGGTATACCTCAGTTATCGCACATCACATACGAAAACTAAAGAGACTGTCAAAAGAGAATATGCTCCCAAATGTGCTAACACGGTGGTAAATAGAGTGAAAAAATTTCTTGATGCCATGCTTTCAAGTAACGTCAAATCTGATTGACAGAATTATGAGAATTTCCCACCTGATAGTGCAAGCTTGAAAGGTTGCATTTGAAAAGAGAATTACTGGAGCCTGGAATTCGTTTAGAATCTGATACTATTCAAGTAGCTCAGTTTGAAAAATAACCCTACAAATGCTGAAGAGTATTACTTGGTGATCTCTATTGAAAGAATTTGGTTCGCATTGATGGCGTCTATTCCACTTTTAGCTGCCGTCAAGGAGATGAACATTACTTCCAATTTCTGATACACCCCTAATACGCATTGCCTTCAATATATACGAGTGTTTATGCTTCGGATGGTTCTCTACTTTTACTTAGCTTAGGTGAGAGCCAACCTGCGCAGCGGCAGCTCGTGCTACTGATTGCTCTTGCGTATTTTATCAAAATACTGCTACTTTCATATTGACCCTCCACTTACACATAGTAACCGTTCATATTATCTGTGGATCTGATTCTTATGTGATGTTCTACATCCATATACACGTAGCTATTTCATATACGGGCAAACAGCATACTGATATTTCTCCTTCATAGTCCTTAGTGTCCCTAATATAGCAAAAGCCGAGTGCATTTGAGCTGCGTTTTCTCGCGTTGGAAGCCGTTTCAGACTGTCAGAATATCACCAAACAGTTGCTCTCATCTGGCAGTTACTTATTGTCACTATTGCTCAACTTTTTTGGGGATCAAAAAAACATGAACAAAATTCGACCAAAAAGCATGAGGTACCCCTCATGGTTTTCATCGAAAATCAAACGATCGCGTTTTTCACCTTGAAAAACGGAGACTTTTACTATTATGGTATATCTTGAATCAAAATGTTTCTATCGATCCAAAGAAACCTCTGAAATCATCTTTGTGGGACTTTGATATGTAAAATTTCGACATTTTTGCCAGAAAACTCGTTTCATATTTTCATAATTTGCTCAATAAATCTATTCAAAACATTTACCTTACTTGGTACCATTGGGTGCGTCTTGAAAAGTACTTTGAGATTGTATTAGGAAGCAATTTTTTTTTGCAGGGGAGACGAGCTCCAGGTTTTATTTAAAGTTCTTTAAATGTCATACTGAGGGATACAAAAGACTGTTGGTGGACCCGATGTCTGCAATGAAGGGGAATAAGATATTTTTGAACTAAGTTGGGAAAGAAATCTACTACTAATAAGGTGCGACACCTAGAGCCAATACAGTCTTGCGGAAATCGTCAAAATATAGATAATGGATAAGAGTACAAAACACTGAACGAGGACATCAGTACTACATCAAAAAATCAAACAACTTGCGTTCACCAGGATTTGAACCGGGGATCCTCCCGTTGGCATACGGGAGTTCTACCACTTCGCCCTACCACCAGGGGCTATATTAGGAAGCAAAGGATGATCTTCACAACTTATATAGTCGAATCTTACAAAATAATTGAATCAAGTCGAAGAAAGACACTTTCTGTCCAATCTTGAACAGAAAAAATGTTCTGGATTTGAATCAATTTTGGCGGCTGGTGCGGCCGGCTGGCAGACACAATGCCCTTTCCATCATGAAGGCAATACAATAATAGATACTTTTGAAGCGTATGGAAAGTAGGTAGCAAATCATATAGTATTATCGTTAGCTATGCTGTTCTTTTTGAATCTATATTTGATAACGCCAGTCTATCAAAATACTTGTTAGATCAATTTCTTTCCTTTTTGAGGCTTTGAAAGTGTTTAGGGACCATAAATTTATCATGTTATGATATTACATACAGGCAAAATCTCTTGACGTTAAATTATATGTATATGATTAAATTATGTACAGGCTTTAAAATACATTGGTCATAGCAATCAATGGACAGTACAAGCTTTGAAACAAGATGCAATCATAAAAGAGCATAATATTGAAGCTAATGACAAGACGTGGTTGTTTTTTTATTAATGTGTATTTGAGTTTATGAAATCACCATACTTGATGGATTAAAATATTTCAGATTTTTGAGGCTATTTTGACTTGTATAAATAGAGGTAGCAGAGATATAAGAACGACTTGGCCTTGTATAGATGTCAGGCATTAATTGTCTTGATAATTGGTTGAGCAAGAGGAAGCACAGATGAGAGTAGGGCTTGACCTTGTATAGATGTGGAGATGGTATATTTGAACAGTCTTGTCATTTTAGGAGCTTGTAGGAAGCACAGATGAGAGTAGGGCTTGACCTTGTATAGATGTAGAGATGGTATATTTGAACAGTCTTGTCATTTTAGGAGCTTGTAGGAGGCACAGAGAACTTGGCTTGATAGCATTTGGAGAGAACAGCTTGCTTTAGATGAGATAGAACATGAGATGGCAGAGGTAACTAGATAAAGATGAGATGAGTACACAAGTACTGTGGCATGAGTGCGTAACAAACCATTTGGGCAAAGAAAATTGACCATCAATAAAAGGAACCAACACTATATAAACAGGTACCAAGGTGTAAACTTGCTTCATCCATCACAAGATCATCGACACGCTCAAGCCGCCTCCATCTCCGGATCATAGGGTTAAACCCTACTCTCGTCGGCAATAAAGCTTGTGATCATCCCGTAGCATGACCAATGGATTTGTCCTGCAGTCTACCCATGATTATGAAGCGGTGATCCTACTCAGTCCCTACAAAGTAGTTTTTCGGCACTATGTAATCAATAGGTTAGTCAACATGGCTCATACGTCCAACAAGATAATAACTTACTCGCACAGTTCACCAAGGTCTGCATGTATCAAAGATAGTGTGGCCTTTTTCTAGCATGGACCAAGAGACGTAGAGAGGACCATGGATTTGTAAGGCATTGTATGTAGCAGTAGTAGAGGCCAATCGACAGTAGAGTATTTGATTTACTTGACCATATGTAGAGAGAGAGAGAGCCCAAATGTCTTGTAGAGAGTTTGTATGTATAGAGTATTTTGCTTGTTGTAGAGAGATGAGATGAAGAAGAAGAGGGAAAAGCTGTTGAAACAAATCCCTATTTATATCCTTCTCATCGACTTTTGTGTGAGTCCAGTATCCTTGCCACACTCAAATTCGTTTCCTTTTACTTTTCTCCACAATATACTACTTTGAGCGCGTGAAAATAGTACCATTTTGACGTTTGACACTTGCTCTATTTGATCGTCTTTGTCCGAGGCTTTCAACTGTTTTCTGTCTCGAGTTATGTCCATTTTGCTACTTCAAAAAGCCCTTTTTCCACCATCACATGAAACGAGTTCCCCCATCTCTTCCTAGATGTAATTAACAGACAACTTTTTACTGGCTCATTCTCATCAAAAAGTAAACAAAAAATGTCATTTGATACTGAAACAAATGCAGCTGGTTGCTTGATTAAGTAATCTTTCTCTACCTTTCCTTAATTTCTCTCTCCAAAATCACACAGTTCCCGATCCATCTCTCTTGTTGTTTGTATTCGCCATAAACTCTCCATCTAATTGGACAATACAGGATGATAAGGTTGGCTTACTTGTTGCTTACATCATCTTGGAGCCAGTGCAATTGATTCTGGATCAAGAGACAAGTGTACACCTCGGAAAGCAAGAGTATCATATGAATATTACTGCGGCAATCTCCATGGAATGGAACATAATGGATTGTTTTTGAACCAGTGCAAGTCATCTTGTTTCCAACTATTATGGTTGCTGTCAATAATGTCAATCAAGTGTTTGCGCTACTAGATATCATCAATATGCCCACATTTACATAGTGAGTTGGTCATTCTCGTGTATCATTCCTCCAACCTGTTTTTAGTTCTTATGCCAAGAGCATGCATCTCATAAAGAGTCAACACATTTCATATCATTTTTTTAGGGATCGTCCTCTTTTAGAAGGCACTCGGATCATGCAAGATTAAAACAATTTATTTGCTAAGCAAAATTGAGCTTTAAAAAAATCACATGTAAAGTAAACAAAAGGACATGAATTGAAGAGAGATAAGCAAGTAAATGGCCAATTTGTGGTCAAAGAGAGGATATTTTATTAGAAAGTATGTACATCATTAGAAAGCAAATCGCTTGAGGAATCCAATGGTACTATTTTCAGGGTTCTAAGTAAAGTACACATCGCGAAATTCATCAAACAAGGCCGTGGGATTTCCAAAAGAAGGAGGTTTCTGAATTAAACTTCACCTGCAATATCATTTTTGTCTGTGTGCTATTCTCTTGCTTTGGATTATGTCACGCCCCTCCTATGTCACCAGCCTGTCCTTTTTGGGTCTCACGTTGCGTATGCTATCTATTTGGGAAGGAGTCTCACTTTCTCGTATAATTGTTTCTGTGGATATCATTGCCGTTATATTATAGGGCTTTGAGCAATCAAGGAGAGCCTTCTTTTAGCCAGCCAAAACGGATTACAATCCCGCTCGACTTTCTGTCACGATTCGTTACTTTTTGATCCTTTTGCGACTCGATCGACTTATTTTACGAGATTCGACTATGAAAGTTGTTGTGATCATCCTTTACAGCCTTAAAATATCTAGAAGAACTTTTCAATGCGCATCCAATTGTGTTGGGTATAATAGATACTTTGATTGAACTTGTTGAGCAATTTATGAAATTATGAAATGACGTTTTTGGCGAAAATGTCGAGATTTTATATATCAAGGTCTCACGAACATAGTTTCAGAAGTTGCCCTGAATCGAGAATTAATATCATCATAACATAATAAAGGATTATTTACCAACTCTCAGTAGTGGGTGCCATTTGAGGTTCCCTGCTATTTTGAGACCCAGATTTACATAACACATTTTAAGCGATTTTTACAAAATCCACAGGAAAAAAAAAGATATTTATTAATGAAAATGCAACCATTGATGGTAAAAGAGGCTCAACTAGAAGTGTTGTAATTTTCTTCTTTTCGTTTCTTCGCAAGGAAAAAAAAGCGCCTTTTTGGAGCTCGGTGCCCAAGCGATCCAAAGACCAGTGGCGAGTGTTGAGCACCTTTTGTAAGGCGCCTACAGCAGAAGCGGGGGAGAGGCCAAGATCCAGCTGAAGGTCTTCAACGGAATCAATGATTTTTTTATGGATATTGAAACATTTTCTGTCGTCTTTTCTCCATTTAGCGCCCCACTTGTCTTCTAATTCTTGAACAGACCAGAATCCATCTCGACCTATTGTCCACTCATCCCAAATATTACACACAGTTGTCACTTGTCGACTCATTTTGTATAACGGTACACCTTCTTGATTGTATGGAAGTGAAATAGTTGCAACTGCGGTGTTGTTGTAATCTGGTGGTGGTGGGCTTTGTTGGGCTTCTTCCGAAAATTGTTTTGATTGCGATACATCTTCTGATCTTGGCAAGGCAGAGGTATTTGCGACAGCGCCTGTTGTCGCTACTGCTTGGTTCCCTTGGTCCATTCTAAAAGACAGTTGCAGTTGCTGCTTTCCGGTGACTATATTGTCAAACACTTTTTGCATTTGCTGCTGGATTTTATCCGACTTCTTTTGACGTTCATTCAATTCTCGCATTGTATTTGCTATACTTCGGTTGATGCTGGAAAGCTGCTCTTGTACTTCAGGCGCAAATCTTTCAATAATTAATGAATGGGGCACTTCATTTTCTTCAACGTGAGCTTTTGCTTTTCTATAAACAAGGCAAAAAGATCAGACACACAGTTTTCATTTTGAAAAAAAAAGCTTTATACCTTTGAAATTCTAGAAAGAGTGGGTTTCCGAAAATTTCGTGCCTCCAAATAGGGTGTTCAGGTATTACGTCCATCATCACAGCTGCGTTTTGTAAGAAAGTCGTCTTGAAGCATTTAATCAAAAGCAGAAACTTGTCGGCTGAACCAGAAGTTTCATGAACTGTCCCGCTTGAATGTCGATCATACCAATAGTCAACCCAGGGAAACACCAACTGCTTCAATCTGTCACATGGCTCCTCTATAGCCCTAGGCAAGTAATAGCTAGCATCGCTTTCAAAGCCGGTCATAACGCGCATGAATTGGCGAGGAAGAGAATCAAGATAGGAGTTTGACATAGTATCAGTGTTCCAACCACCCATTCGTTGAATCTGCTGCGAAGGAGCCCCAAGTAAATCGGCCATTTTTGAAGCAGAACCCCGTGGAACATGAGTAACTTTTTTTGCTACAAAGATGTTTGCTGCAGCAAAGGCCATTTTCATGAACCTAGTATGAGCTGTCTTTGAGATCGAACATTCATATGGATTGCTGCTTATGGTTCCCTGCTCATCTTCGCTTGAGGCATCATCTTCGTCATCTACTCAAAGTAAAATAATCGCAATTAAAAAGTGAACACTCGATTTACCCCTCATGGTTTTCATCGAAAATCAAACGATCGCGTTTTTCACCTTGAAAAATGGAGACTTTTACTATTATGGTATATCTTGAATCAAAATGTTTCTATCGATCCAAAGAAACCTCTGAAATCATCTTTGTGGGACTTTGATATGTAAAATTTCGACATTTTTGCCAGAAACCTCTTTTCACATTTTCATAAATCATTTGTTACGTTTATTCAAGTCATCTATTTTACTTGGTACCATTGGATGCACCTTGAAAAGTACTCCAGGAAAGCTTAAGGAAGCATGGGGTGATTATCATACTTCACTTAGTCGAATCTGCAAAAATAGCTCGATCGAGTCCAAAATCATCAAGATTTGTCCAATCTGGAACAAACTATGATTCTGGTTTCGAATTAATTTTGGCTTGTGGGGCCAGCTGTCAAACTCAACGCCCTTTTCATACTGCAATACAGTATTAAATGCTCTTGAAGCGTATGAAAAGTAGGTGGCAGGCCATAAAGCTATCGTTTATAATGATATTTTATTGCATTCTATATCGTTCATAATGACATCGTCTTGCATTCTATATTTAATAACGTTAGTCTGGACATTGACGATTCATGGGCTGCGTAAGATGTCTGCAGTAAGTAGTGAAATCTCTGAGGCTCTGAGACGTCGTTCAAATAAAACATTGACAGCATTGAGCAGAGGAAAGAGGGTAGAACTAACAGTGGTTTTTGTTGATTGATTGTAAAATCATTATTCTCATATGAGCCAGGCCTGACAGATGCCTTGAAACTCAGGTTCCATATTAGGATTGTGAAGTTTCTAAGGGCTAAACATTTATTATGTTATGATGATATTAATTCTCGATTCAGGGCAACTTCTGAAACTATGTTCGTGAGACCTTGATATATAAAATCTCGACATTTTCGCCAAAAACGTCATTTCATAATTTCATAAATTGCTCAACAAGTTCAATCAAAGTATCTATTATACCCAACACAATTGGATGCGCATTGAAAAGTTCTTCTAGATATTTTAAGGCTGTAAAGGATGATCACAACAACTTTCATAGTCGAATCTCGTAAAATAAGTCGATCGAGTCGCAAAAGGATCAAAAAGTAACGAATCGTGACAGAAAGTCGAGCGGGATTGTAATCCGTTTTGGCTGGCTAAAAGAAGGCTCTCCTTGATTGCTCAAAGCCCTATAATATAACGGCAATGATATCCACAGAAACAATTATACGAGAAAGTGAGACTCCTTCCCAAATAGATAGCATACGCAACGTGAGACCCAAAAAGGACAGGCTGGTGACATAGGAGGGGCGTGACATAATCCAAAGCAAGAGAATAGCACACAGACAAAAATGATATTGCAGGTGAAGTTTAATTCAGAAACCTCCTTCTTTTGGAAATCCCACGGCCTTGTTTGATGAATTTCGCGATGTGTACTTTACTTAGAACCCTGAAAATAGTACCATTGGATTCCTCAAGCGATTTGCTTTCTAATGATGTACATACTTTCTAATAAAATATCCTCTCTTTGACCACAAATTGGCCATTTACTTGCTTATCTCTCTTCAATTCATGTCCTTTTGTTTACTTTACATGTGATTTTTTTAAAGCTCAATTTTGCTTAGCAAATAAATTGTTTTAATCTTGCATGATCCGAGTGCCTTCTAAAAGAGGACGATCCCTAAAAAAATGATATGAAATGTGTTGACTCTTTATGAGATGCATGCTCTTGGCATAAGAACTAAAAACAGGTTGGAGGAATGATACACGAGAATGACCAACTCACTATGTAAATGTGGGCATATTGATGATATCTAGTAGCGCAAACACTTGATTGACATTATTGACAGCAACCATAATAGTTGGAAACAAGATGACTTGCACTGGTTCAAAAACAATCCATTATGTTCCATTCCATGGAGATTGCCGCAGTAATATTCATATGATACTCTTGCTTTCCGAGGTGTACACTTGTCTCTTGATCCAGAATCAATTGCACTGGCTCCAAGATGATGTAAGCAACAAGTAAGCCAACCTTATCATCCTGTATTGTCCAATTAGATGGAGAGTTTATGGCGAATACAAACAACAAGAGAGATGGATCGGGAACTGTGTGATTTTGGAGAGAGAAATTAAGGAAAGGTAGAGAAAGATTACTTAATCAAGCAACCAGCTGCATTTGTTTCAGTATCAAATGACATTTTTTGTTTACTTTTTGATGAGAATGAGCCAGTAAAAAGTTGTCTGTTAATTACATCTAGGAAGAGATGGGGGAACTCGTTTCATGTGATGGTGGAAAAAGGGCTTTTTGAAGTAGCAAAATGGACATAACTCGAGACAGAAAACAGTTGAAAGCCTCGGACAAAGACGATCAAATAGAGCAAGTGTCAAACGTCAAAATGGTACTATTTTCACGCGCTCAAAGTAGTATATTGTGGAGAAAAGTAAAAGGAAACGAATTTGAGTGTGGCAAGGATACTGGACTCACACAAAAGTCGATGAGAAGGATATAAATAGGGATTTGTTTCAACAGCTTTTCCCTCTTCTTCTTCATCTCATCTCTCTACAACAAGCAAAATACTCTATACATACAAACTCTCTACAAGACATTTGGGCTCTCTCTCTCTCTACATATGGTCAAGTAAATCAAATACTCTACTGTCGATTGGCCTCTACTACTGCTACATACAATGCCTTACAAATCCATGGTCCTCTCTACGTCTCTTGGTCCATGCTAGAAAAAGGCCACACTATCTTTGATACATGCAGACCTTGGTGAACTGTGCGAGTAAGTTATTATCTTGTTGGACGTATGAGCCATGTTGACTAACCTATTGATTACATAGTGCCGAAAAACTACTTTGTAGGGACTGAGTAGGATCACCGCTTCATAATCATGGGTAGACTGCAGGACAAATCCATTGGTCATGCTACGGGATGATCACAAGCTTTATTGCCGACGAGAGTAGGGTTTAACCCTATGATCCGGAGATGGAGGCGGCTTGAGCGTGTCGATGATCTTGTGATGGATGAAGCAAGTTTACACCTTGGTACCTGTTTATATAGTGTTGGTTCCTTTTATTGATGGTCAATTTTCTTTGCCCAAATGGTTTGTTACGCACTCATGCCACAGTACTTGTGTACTCATCTCATCTTTATCTAGTTACCTCTGCCATCTCATGTTCTATCTCATCTAAAGCAAGCTGTTCTCTCCAAATGCTATCAAGCCAAGTTCTCTGTGCCTCCTACAAGCTCCTAAAATGACAAGACTGTTCAAATATACCATCTCTACATCTATACAAGGTCAAGCCCTACTCTCATCTGTGCTTCCTACAAGCTCCTAAAATGACAAGACTGTTCAAATATACCATCTCCACATCTATACAAGGTCAAGCCCTACTCTCATCTGTGCTTCCTCTTGCTCAACCAATTATCAAGACAATTAATGCCTGACATCTATACAAGGCCAAGTCGTTCTTATATCTCTGCTACCTCTATTTATACAAGTCAAAATAGCCTCAAAAATCTGAAATATTTTAATCCATCAAGTATGGTGATTTCATAAACTCAAATACACATTAATAAAAAAACAACCACGTCTTGTCATTAGCTTCAATATTATGCTCTTTTATGATTGCATCTTGTTTCAAAGCTTGTACTGTCCATTGATTGCTATGACCAATGTATTTTAAAGCCTGTACATAATTTAATCATATACATATAATTTAACGTCAAGAGATTTTGCCTGTATGTAATATCATAACATGATAAATTTATGGTCCCTAAACACTTTCAAAGCCTCAAAAAGGAAAGAAATTGATCTAACAAGTATTTTGATAGACTGGCGTTATCAAATATAGATTCAAAAAGAACAGCATAGCTAACGATAATACTATATGATTTGCTACCTACTTTCCATACGCTTCAAAAGTATCTATTATTGTATTGCCTTCATGATGGAAAGGGCATTGTGTCTGCCAGCCGGCCGCACCAGCCGCCAAAATTGATTCAAATCCAGAACATTTTTTCTGTTCAAGATTGGACAGAAAGTGTCTTTCTTCGACTTGATTCAATTATTTTGTAAGATTCGACTATATAAGTTGTGAAGATCATCCTTTGCTTCCTAATATAGCCCCTGGTGGTAGGGCGAAGTGGTAGAACTCCCGTATGCCAACGGGAGGATCCCCGGTTCAAATCCTGGTGAACGCAAGTTGTTTGATTTTTTGATGTAGTACTGATGTCCTCGTTCAGTGTTTTGTACTCTTATCCATTATCTATATTTTGACGATTTCCGCAAGACTGTATTGGCTCTAGGTGTCGCACCTTATTAGTAGTAGATTTCTTTCCCAACTTAGTTCAAAAATATCTTATTCCCCTTCATTGCAGACATCGGGTCCACCAACAGTCTTTTGTATCCCTCAGTATGACATTTAAAGAACTTTAAATAAAACCTGGAGCTCGTCTCCCCTGCAAAAAAAAATTGCTTCCTAATACAATCTCAAAGTACTTTTCAAGACGCACCCAATGGTACCAAGTAAGGTAAATGTTTTGAATAGATTTATTGAGCAAATTATGAAAATATGAAACGAGTTTTCTGGCAAAAATGTCGAAATTTTACATATCAAAGTCCCACAAAGATGATTTCAGAGGTTTCTTTGGATCGATAGAAACATTTTGATTCAAGATATACCATAATAGTAAAAGTCTCCGTTTTTCAAGGTGAAAAACGCGATCGTTTGATTTTCGATGAAAACCATGAGGGGTACCTCATGCTTTTTGGTCGA